GCCAAGGCGTAGTCTATCTTGCTTCGTCCCTGTCCTCCTCCCCCCGGGAGCGTGTACTCATATGTGTGCGCCTCTTTTGCCCTATTCTTTCCGGTCGTGCACATCAGACGCATCCCTGCCGCGTGGGCGGTCTCGAGCAGTTCGCTGCCGTTTTCTGTCGTCGCTCCATCTACTATCCTGCTTCCAGTGACCCCTTCGACAGTTTCACCTATCCGCCCATTGGCGTCCATCATCAGGAGCGTCGACCCCTTCCAACTCTTCATGGCTCCCCGCAGTTCCGCCCAGCGGGTCCTGGCATCTTCTTCTCCTTCCTGTCTTCCGTAGTGCCCAACTATATTGAGGCGGACCCTCCCGCCCAGTTGTAGCCGAGTTGTCTGGTCGGTTTCCGCGTCGATGGCCTCCATTTCCCTGTCGATTTCTTCGCTCCATACCATCGTGACGCCTTCCCTTCTTCCTTCGGTTTTCCCCGCTCGGGTGACCATCTTATATCCCTGCAGCCACCTTGTTCCGCTCGGGAGTTTGCTCTCCAGCATTACGGCGACGTCTATTCCATATTCTTTCATGTCTTGCACTAAAGCAGATTCCCGGCCCTTCAGTGTGTTGCAGTTGTGCATGTATACACGGAGATACTTCTTCTGCGGGGGCTTCTTTCGTGTCCCGTCCTCTCGGATTTTAATCCCTGCACCCCTGGCAGCCTTCCGCACTCCTTGCCCGACTTGTTGCCCTTTTGGTTCCCGGACATTGTCGAGGCCCCTCTGTATGCGCATCTCTTTCACGTCCATCGCGTCGCGCAGTTTCTTGGCACGCTCTGCCACTTCTGTCGTTGTGCCTTCTTTTGCGTTTCTGTTCCTCCCGACGTTTACCCTGATCACATGCGTCCAATCTTTGCCCAGGCGCCACGTGTTCCATTCCTTTCGCTGTATCCGCCAGGGTAAAACGTCGCAGCCTGCGCCCCGCAATCCCCTCACGAATGCCTCTTCTTCCTGTTGGATTGCTGCCTGTTCCTGTCTTGCCTCTTCCCCTCCTTTCTGGTCCTCCTCGAAGGCTAGCGAGATCGGGGGCCCTTGTCCCTCTTCTATTCCTCTGCTTCTTCTTTTGATGTCTTCGCTTAGCTCCGCGAGCCCCTTGCGAAGCCTGTCGGCCCTTTCCGTCATCGTGTCCCCGTTTCTCCCTGGCCTGCCTGCGTGGATCTTGTGGGCGATCATGGCCACCGTGCCGCTCCTACCGGCCCCCGCCGTCCATTCATAGGCCACCAGACTGCTTGAGCACACGCTGTCCCGGGGCTCTGTGCTCCTTCTCTTCAGTTCCCCTCGGCCTATGGCTTCTCTTATTTTGCGCAAAAGTGGCCGCGTCTCCCCGCCTTTTTTCGCGGTTTTTAGGATGACTACCCCATCCGGCCACTCTTCCAGCCTTCCGCCTGCTTCCCTTATGGGTGCTTCCTTTGCTCTTTTCTTCACTCTTTTCACCTCCGTCCACTTTTCGCCTTTGGTGTCGGTTTTTTTTGCTTCTTGCACTTCTAAATCTACAGGCTCACGCCTCCTCTCCTCCTCTTCTTTGCGGTCTTTCTGCCGCCTGCGCTTTTGTGCTTTTTTTCCAACTCCTTCGCCTGTTTCCTTTCCTATTCCTGCCTTCCTCACGACCGTGAGGCTGCCTCCTTTTTTCTTAAGTTCCTCATTGAAGAGCCCCAAGACTTTTAGGTAGTCCCTCCATCTTCCCCCAGCCTGGCCGCACCCTGCTCCGTGGGGGAAGAAGAAACGGAGACCGCCTGCCCCCATCTGGCTGCCGAGCTGCTTAGCTGCGTCTTTCAGGCCCTCACTGAGCCACTGGAGCCGGTGCCGATAGCTTTCGCCGATTGTCGGCGGGCCCGGTGATTCCTGTCCCATGATGTTCACCACCTTCCCCGGGCCAAGCGCCTGGTCGAACACCCTGGCGCTGCCCATGGGCCTGTCCCTGTTCCGGTCTTGTTCCTGTTCCTTTGCTTGCGGGTGCTCGTTGAGGATGTCCGCCGATTGTCCCTGCATCTGCCGGGCCTTCCTGCTCACTACATGCAGGATGACCCCGCCCCGTTGGTGTTCTATTCGTCCAAACATCACCGCCGGGGGCACTCCCCTGGAGTTCCTCTTGCCCGCTTCGTCTGGTCTCCTCTCCTCCTGGCATGATTGTTGCCGCGCCTCTCCCTGCTTCCTTTGGCTTCCTCCCGGGTGGCCCTCCTTCTTTCCATTGTTCTCCTGTTTCCTTGCCCTGTCCTTCTCCTTCTGTTGCCCTCTCTTCTCCTGCGGTCCTTTGCCTGTTTCTCCCACTCCAGCCGACCGGGCCGCGGGCGACTGCCCTGGCTGTTCTCTACCTATTCCCAGCCGCGTCGTGGAGTTGTAGTGTCCGCCTGTGAATACTAGGCAAATCTCTGGCAGGTTGCCTGGGGCGTCCCCCGCCCCAGGTATCACGAACGTGCCCCCCGCGTCTGTATTCATGAAGATGCGGATATTGATGAGAAGCGTCTTGGCTAGGATGTCCAGGTCTTCCCCTGTCATCCAAGTCCATTGGGGCGCAAGCCCCCTGCTGCGGTGGTTGTTTTTGCGCTGTATCCTCCGTCTCATCCCCGCCACGACTTCCTCCATTCTCCACGCGTTTTTCTCTACTAGCGCTCGCACTTGCCACATTGTGCTGATGCCGGGGGGCGCGAGGTCCCTCGTCTGAAGCTGGTGGAGGACAGAGTGATACCCACAGTGTCCGTCCCCCACTACTCTATGCTCCCTGAGTCCCATTGCCCTCATCGCTGCGAGGGTTGCTCGCCTGCCTCTGATCGTTCCTAGTCTGTCTGGGGCAGCGTTCTTGCCAGTCTGGTCCCTTCCCTCCACCTTTTCGGTGGGTGTCGTCTCCTTTTTGGGGTTCCTTGGGTTCCCCGTCCCTTTTTTCTCCCCTGGGCATCTCTCTTCTCGCCCAGGGGCGGGGTCTGTGCGGGCCCCTGCCCTAGCATTTTGCACCCCCTCCGGCCGGCCGTCCGTTCTGCTAGAGCCGTCCACGGGCTGCGCCCTCTCCTCTCGCTCTCCTTCTGGCCAGCCGTCAGGGGCGCGCTTGTTGAGGTTCGTTTGGGTTATCCTCGCCCTAGCATTGTTTGTCCGGGTGTCCTCCCTAATATTTTTCTCGTAACTCTGTAAGTTGCCCTCTGTCATTTTTTTTTGGGTTGGCCACCTGTTTCCCGACCCTTCCACGGCGGTGCCCCCCGTGGGAGGGTTTTTTGTCGTCCCGGCTTGCCTCTCCTTTCGGCCGCAGCGGGTGCCGAGGGCCCGCTGCTGCCTTTTCTCTTCTCCCGCCCCTCTTCCCTGTTCGAGGGGCGTGCGGGCGTTCCTGCGCCTTTTGCCGGGGTGGGGGAGTGGTTTGGCGTGGGGCTCCTCATCCCCCCGCTGCCCACCCTTTCTCGCGTGGTGGCCAGCCTTCCCCTGGCCACTATTCGCGAGCCCCGGCCCCTGTGTGCTAGCTGGCTAGCGCCTTTCCCTAGCCTCCTTCTCTCCTTTGACCGATCGGCTTGCGCCTTTTCCTTGTTCTAGGTCCTTCAAGCTCGTTTTTTTCTCTGCCTGTTCTCTCCTTGTTTACCGATTGCGACGCCGACTGTGCCGGCCCACGTTCGACCGATCGGCGCACGCCTTTTTTCCTTTTTTTTTTTTTTTTTGTGTTCTTCGTCCCTCGCGCTCGGCTTTTTTTCTCCTTGTTCTCTCCTTGCTTACCGATTGCGCGGCCGGCTTTGCCCGTCACCGATCGAGGCTTTTTGCTTTTTTTTTTTCTTTTCCTTCTTCTCTTCTTGGCGCTCCGCGCCGTCTCTCTGTTCGCTCTTTGTATTGTACCGATGCAGGCCCCTGGCGGGCCTGTCGTTGTTCCTTCTGAACACCAGACGGGGGGGGCCTCGTCTTCCTCTGCTGAAAGATAAGACTTTTTTTCTTTCCCTCCTTGTTCCTTCTTTTCTTCGTTTTCTTCTACTTATGCAAAAAATCTCTTAGGGAGATGAAAAGTAAATCCTAATGCAGTGAGCAGCCTGAAAAGGTTGCCTTCGTTTGCGTCGATAACATCGACACACTTTTCGACGGTGCTCTTTTCGTCGTTTTCTCTTACAGAGAGCTCCTCCCATGGGGAGCCCTTTTCTTCTTCTTCTTCTTCCTCGTTTTCTTCTTCGTTTTCCTCTTCTTCCTCCTCGGTTTTTTCTTCTTCCTCCTCTTCTGTGTGCTGCTCTTCCTCCCCGTGTTCTTCTTCTTCGTCGCTCCACATCTTCCCGACGGCAGTCACCTGGAAAATGATTTTTTTTATAAGTATGACAGGGAGGCGAAATAGGAGCAGGGAACATTCCAGCTACTAAAACTATGGCGCCAGTGCTGGTCTATAAGGTGATAAGGCATATCCGTTTAATACCTTTTTTTTTTTTTTTTCCTCTCCTTCCTTCCTGTTCTTTTTTCTTCTTTTCCCCTTCCACCTTTTTAGGTGTACTTCATGGGAATGATGGCCTGCGTAGAGACCAGCAGATTCCACATCTGCTCGAACTGCGACCATTCGATGCGGCAAGTCCACACGGATGTTTGAACCTCTTCCAGCAGTGTGCGCACTGGTGCGCTGTGCCTGAGCCTTTCCAAAAGGCCTAGCCTCATTTCTGACCGCATCAGAGTGGCCAGCGCTTTGGTCACCTCTTCGGTCATGTTCGTTGGCTCCTGGAACGTGACGACCTTGTGCGTGCTCGTCGTGCTGGTGGTCGTTGGCCCTGGTTGTGCTGCTTTGCTTAGCGCCAGAGCGTTGGCCACCGGTTTCTTTGCTGACCACGACAGAGTGGAGAACCAAGACCTCCGCTCTTCTCCTGTGACCTCTTCTTCTTCGCTGTCGGATCCTGCTCGGGACACTCTGCTTGGCTCTTCTTCGTCGAACATCTCCGCGTCCTCTTCTCGCTGTTCCTCCGCGCCATCTTCGGCCGCTTCGTTCCTTTTGCGTTTCTTCGCTCCTCCTGCCTCTGCTTCTTGCTTCTCTGCGTCCGGGTGCGCTCGTGCTTTCCTACGTACGGTTAGGACAAGGGCGGCGGGCTCTTGTCTGCTCTTCTTTGCTTGTTGTTCGGCCACCTCGACCCACGTCCCGTCCTGTGCCTCGTCTGTGGTGGGGCATCTGCGGCGCAGCTGCTCGACCAACTTGCCAACCACTGCTCTCTGCCCGTCAGGTAGGAAACCGCCGTCGGCCCGCGTCACTACTACTTTTGTAGCCTTTACCTCGTCCGTGTAGGGGATGCACGTGGCTCCCCCTTCTCCTTCTTTGGCTTCTTTTTTCTGCACAAGCAGATACTTTTCGCGGTCATCCTCGAAGACGTAGGCGTGCTCCTTTTCCGGTTCTGGTTTGCTGCCTTCGGGTTCGTCTTCCTGCTTGGTGCTGTTCGCTGGTGCCCGCTCTCGCTTTTCGGCTTTGTGGATTCGCACCACGTTGTACGGCGGTGAGGTGGGCATCGCCTTCATCATTGTGAGAATCCTCCGGGCCTCTCCAGGCGCTTGGGCCAATTTGAAGAGCAAGGTAACGAAGGCATCCTGTGGCAAAGGCAAGTCACAGAGGTCTTCCAGGTCCAAGACCTCTAAAACCGTTGCCCAATCGACCTCAGCAAGCAGCATAGAGAGGTCTACGCGGATTCCGATCCCGGGGCGGTAGGAGTCGGACATCCACGCGGGGCGTTCGCCCGTTTCTTTTTTCGCTGGTGGTTTTGTTCGGTTCTGCTTGTCGTCTTCGTTGCTGCCTGTTGGCTGCCGCTCTCTTGCCTGGCTTCGTCCTCGCGCTCTGCTGCGTCCCCTGGGTCGGTCTTCGTCGTCCTTCTTGCCGTCTCTGCCCTTCGTGTCCTTTCCCTTCTGGTCCTTGCCTCTGCCTTTCGCTCCTTTTTTTCCGTCTTTCTCCGCCTGCCAGATGCTTTCCGGCACCGCTGTGTCTTCCTTTTTGTTTCGGAGGTTGACCTCCTCGCCGTCCCTGTTCCGGTAGCCGTTGTCTGTCAGTTGCGGCGTGTAGATGAGGGCGTTGTCCTCTTTCTCTTTGTTGAGCCACTGCTTTAGCTTCGTCACCTCTTCGCTGCTGCCGTTTCTCAGAATGGCTTGCCAGCCGATCCGGAAACATTTTGGGTGGAAGTTGAATCCATCCCCGGCCTTCGTGTTCCACAGTAGGTCTGTGATCGAGTTCTGAACTTTCGACCGCCTGTCCTCGTTCCTGAACGTGTCCTGGAACGCTGTGCGCCCCGCTTCTCGGGCCGCGTCCTTTCCTCCTCCGCCCATGGCGTCGGCCGTTGCTGTCTTCTTCGCTTCTGTCTTCGTCGTGCGTCCTGTATTTTGAAACAATTGGAAGTATGGCGGTATAATTTCCAGCAGTTCCCCCCCTTCTCGTCTGTACTTTATCGACGGCTGGGGGCCGTGCGTTCGGTGGATCTTTCCCCAGAGTGTCAGCGAGAACCTGGGGCCGCCTGCTCTGACTGCGTGCCGCGTCCTCCGGTTCTCTTCCCTGGTGAACCAGCGGAGCAAGGCGGGGGCGGTTGTCTCCTGGCGTCCTGGTCCCTTTTCGTCGTCTTCCCAGCGGAATTCCGTGGCTCCCACCGAGAGAACCACCGCTACGTCTGCCTCTCCGAATTCGTCCCGATGGTATCCTATTGCCTCCCCTTGCTTCCTGAAGACATTCAGGATAGCACCGCACTCCCCTGCGAGATTGGCGGTTTTGTAGATCCAGGAGGCCAGTTTGTGGATTGCCCTCGGCGAGCTCGTTTCCGCCAATTCGAACGACAGCCGGCGCAGTTTGCGGACTGCTCCTGTTTGGGCGTTCCGCTTGTGCACTGCGCGGACGTCTTTGTAGAATGCCAGGACTTCCTCGAGTATGTCCCAAGGGTCGCCCGCCACCTTCTGTAGCTCTTCACGAGTTACTTCAGCCACGCCGCGGGGCCCCCAGCTCCCTGCCCCTCCCGCGTCGAGGTCACGGAGGTATCCTATCCACCGTTCCGCCATGCGGAGGGGAACTGCGGATGTCAGTGAGATAGAGTCCCATTCTAGTCATATTTGTTATTACCTCGCGCGGACAGCTTACTACTGTCCGCGATGTCTGATCTACCCTACACTCTACTCTCCTCTACGTTACACACTCTACCCTTATGCTACAAATTTGCACTCCTAGGCCACGCACATCTATCCCAACAAGAGAGAGACAATAGAGACAAGGCAATACCTCACGTCTCGCTTCTTAGTTTCGCCTTTGCTCGGTCGTTTCTTGGCCTCCTTTGCTTCTTTTGGTGGGGCATAGATCCACGCCGCGTCCCGTCGTTGTCTCGTTCCTGTTCGAGGGTGGTGTGACGATGTGTTTAGATGCAGCGTCTAAGTGGTGACCTGCTCAAATAGGTCATCTAAACACAAGGGCAAGCGCAGCAACACATGTACCCAGTAGACGCCTGCCCGTCTGTACATGTGTCCAGTAGACACCCAGGCGTCTGTGTTTATATACAGCCGCTACTCAGATGCCTGACTTTTTACTACATCTAAACACGAGAGCATCCCTACGTGCACTCGTGTACTTTTTATTATATCTAGAAACGCGGCGACTTTGCATACTTATCACAAAAGGGCACCTACCTACTTCTTGTTCTCTCCTTGCCTGGCCTCGCTGACCCAAGATAGGGCGCTGTAGGTTCGTTGGCGCCAGTGCCCGGTGTCAGTTCCTTTTCGTTCGTTCGTCGCTAGGTATTCCCACGCGCCTTGAGGCCTGTTGTTGGTCAGTCACTGAAAAGGGGTGACTATGCCATCACGGGGCCTCCACTTTCAGTTTACAAGGCAGGAGAGAGACAGACAACACCCGGCTGTCACAAGCGTCTCCTCCCGCCCGCTACGTGGATGCACATCAAGGTGGCGCGAGACAGGCAGCAGCTGGCTGCCACAGGTGCGCCCCACCACCCTGAGTCCATCTCGATGCTTACTCTCGATGACCTTCTATACTTTTCAGCTATTCTGTCCTATGGTATGGGGGCGGGGAGCAGACAACACGAGGTCGTCACACTCGCTCCCCGATTCCCGCACTGTACTATCTACCAAAGAGCAGGCAGGAGCAACCTGCCATACCTAGGCTCCCCCTATTGGGTTCCGCCTCATTCTCTACTTTATCTGAGCCTATGGGACTTGAGCGGCGCAGGCTGCACTTAGGCAGCCATAGGTCACGCCCTCTTGTGCGTTCCAGTAAACAATACCTTTTTTCTTCCCCTTTTTCCGCTGCTGTCTCGCTCCTGTTACTTCGCGCCGGCGTTGTCTGAGTCTAAGGCCATACTTTGTGATGCAGAGAGATAAGTCGTGTACTTACACTTAAGTGCTTCCGAAAGCGTAAAGTCCCTGTTCCATTCAAATCCGAGTTTCTTGGTAAGTAATTACTGTTACTTATATCTCGATCATCGTTTCTTTTTTTTTTTCCAGTCCCTTCACTTGTCCCTTCACTTCCCTGCGATCGAGATCAAGTCGTAATTTTCAAGACTATCGAGCCGTAACCTTCAAGACTTAACCTGCCGAGGTGAACCCTTGTTATTCCTCATTCACTCCTTCGGGCTCGATCACTTCCTTGCTGATTCTATCCTTTTCCCGGCGTGGTCGGTCCTTTTCCTTAATTTTCAATTCCTCAGATGGAGATCGCACCTCCTGTAACATCTTTATGCGATTCATGCGATTCCTTAAGTTCGATCCTCGATCATTGCTCATGTGGCGCCCACGGCGCGGCCTACTTTGATCATCTTCTTCCCTTTCGTCCCTTCACCTTGATGATCGAGGATATTATAATTTCAGGACCTTAAATTGTGGAACTCGGGATTCGTTCTCACTTTCTTTTGCGGCGGGTCGATCGGTTGGCTCACCGCATCCGCCGCCCGCTCTTGTGGCCTTAATTTGATTATTCCACCTGGCGATCCGCATTCGATTTCAATTCTGTCCTGTCCCATAATATTGAGATACAATAGACGTTCACTATTCAATTTCAATTCTGCCCCATTTTCCTCCGATATTGAGATAATATTGAGATAGCATTCCATTTCAATTCTGTCCTGTCCCATAATATTGAGATACAATAGACGTTCACTATTCAATTTCAATTCTGTCCCATTTTCCTCCGATATTGAGGCGACGAGAGGTGACGGCGATCTTCTCTCTTGTGATCTACTGGCCGAAAAGCGCGACCGAAATTATACGGGTTTCTTTTCGGTCGCACTTTTGGGCAGCGACCAGGTCGCGACATTTGTTCACCTCTTCCTGATGTAGGGTCACCTTCCCCCTTGGTGACTCCACTGGCCGAAAAGCGCGACCGAAATTATACGGGTCTTTTTTCGGTCGCACTTTTGGGCGCCCATTTATTGATCATCTTTCCTCATTCCCAGCCCTTGACGATCAGACACCCGGGGCGCCTATCCTTAGAGCAATCATCTCCCTACTTCGACCCGATCGCTCGACCTTTCTCTATTCAGGTCCAGGGCGCGCACCAGTCACATTCTTACTCAGCCTGGTCCTAGCCGTTGTTTGCCTGGTCCTAGCCGTTGTTTGCCCGATAATTCTTATTCTTGCCTCCTTCGGATCATCAGGCGGCTCGCGGCCCCGGTTGGACCTTACTGAAGGGCCGACCGAAAAGGTCAGGGTATATTTTCGGTCGTTGTCTTTTTTGGCTGGTCAGGGCGCTTACCGCCGAGGCCGGCGCCCTGGCCGGAAGTTCCGGGGCATGTTTTCGGTCAGTCCAGTCACTACGCCGAGGGCCGCTCGGAGCCCTGCCCCTCCGTTTCCCGTCTGCTTCTACAGAAGTGGGGCCCCAGTTTTGGGGGGCTATTCCCATGCCCTCTGCCTCGTGGCCATTGCGTCTCCGACCTTTTCCCAGAGGGCGCCTGGTCGGAGGTTAGATCTGGAGCGTCTATCCTCCCCCTTTTTTTCGTTCCATCATGGCCGGCTGTCCCGATCATGGGGCCCCTTTGCCTTTTGCATTGCTTCAGGCCAGCCTCTCCCCTTCCTTCTTTTTTATTTTCTTCGTTTCCTTGAGTCTCTCCTTTTTCTTCCTGCTTTGCTTCTCCTTCCTTTTTCTTCTGCTTTGGTCGAGTGCTTCCCCCTGAATGGTCCTACTTTTTTTTCTTTTTGGGGGGGGGAAGTGACAGGGGCCCCCGCCTCCTCCTCGTGCTGAGCCCGTAGCAACGATGTCGCCACGTCCAGTTTTTGATGGTTTTTTGAGTCCTGCGATGGCGCGCGCGGACGCGCGGCCAGCGGCGGTTCTCCCTGTCACTTCCTGTCTCTTCTTGTGGTCTCAGCTCTTTCTGATGCCACCCTCCTCACTGTTTTTTCCCCTTCTCTTCCTTCATTC